TACTATTACTACTACTACTACTACTACTACTACTACTACTACTACTACTACTACTACTACTACTACTACTACTACTACTACTTTGTGTTGTGTACCCCGTCACGTTCCGGCACACCCCTCATACGGTTCGTGGCCCCATAGGGAGCGCCATCGAAGAAGATACTCACAATTGCGGTACTCGCAACTGCATCTGGTTGGGTCCTTCGCCAGGATAATTGCGACATTCGCGGGCCTCGGACACCTCCTCCAACGAATATCGGACGCCAGCGGCTATCAGTCCCCTTAAGCATGGCTTTGCACGTGCCAAGTGTTTGTAGAGGCGTCCGTTGGACCGAAAGTCCCACCTACATATGCCACAATCCGTGCCAACGGCCATGTAAGCTGGTGTGTTCCTTTGAGAATGGAACTTCCCTCGATGAGCCTTCAAATGCCTGGGTGAGACAAAAACTTGTCCGCACTCGTAGCAGAGGTACTTCCGCTCTACCTCCTCCTCTGACTCCTGCATGCTGGTGTCCCTAACGTGCTGGGCGACTCTCTCCTCCCACATGTATCGCTGGTGTCGGTCTGACCACCATGTTCTGGATTTTGCGATGGTAGCCGTCAGCAGGGATCGAAAACGGCGGATATCCAAACGTACTGCCGTCACCCATTCGTCCAAGGCACCCTCCCCAGGAATATCGGAAGGGTCAACAAACTTGGAAAGCCAATCAAAACTCTGGGAGAGGGCCAAGACCCACCCATCACGCGAAAGCAAACACGCATCCAGGAGGTACCTCAAAAAGGGGGGTGCCTTGGTCAACCGTCGGCCAAAATAACGAAGTCTGTTTATGTGTACCACAGCTTCCCAGGGCATGCGGTCCACGAGGGCCAGAACTTTTTAGTACGAAACCTGAAACTCGCTGGAGTTCACAGCAGAAAAACCTAACGCACATCTGTAACTGAACTCGTGAAAAAAATGCAAACATCTGTAAATGCCACCGTGAAGGGTCTCCATAGTGCACACGCATAAAACCCCTTGCTCGCACCGAAGGCTTCAGAATAAAGGACCTTGGTTCGCAGGGACAGGGCCTCCCGTGGAGCGAGTGCTTTTTTGATGGGTCGGCAGGCAGCCTTGACTTGTATGCTCCTCGCTGTGAGCTCGACCCCCTCGTTGCGTGTGTCGGTCAAAGCAACACCTAAACATGTCTGGGATCGTGCAACCTTCACCTTGACCCCCCAATGTGTGGATGAGATGTGGGGTTCATCCATGTCATGTAAATCTCTGTGCGCCTTCTGCGCGCCCTTTCCCCTAAAGGACAGCAGTGCCTTGGTTTTATTGGAATTCAACTTGAGACCGTGTCGCGCACATACACTGTATACAATGTCCATGAGCAGGGCAAGCCTGGGAATCAATTCGCTTGCTACTCGCGAGGTGACCGATGGGGTGATGTCATCCACAAATGAGACGTCAATAATGGGGGCAGAGTCGGGGTCCCCCTGCGAAAAGATCTTGGCCCCCGTACGCGGTCTCCACTCCAGTCCCATAGCGGCTGCTTCCGCTTCTATCTCCTGCTGCACACTGGCAAACACCACGTTAAACTGATCGGTGGCCATACCAGTGCCTGGCCCCGTGCCAGTTCTCGGAACCACATATCCTTGAGCGCCCTTGACGGCCCAGAAGGAACCTCTTTGCGCATCTTTCAGCAGAGCCAGCAAGTGAGGCCTGTCGATGTGCCTCTCAAAGAGCGGTCCCTGGGCCAACTGGATGCGAATCCCCTGGACAAGGATGGCGGGCAGCTCCATGGCGTTGAGTGTTTCATCAAGGGCCTCCTGTTCCTCTGGGAGGTCGAATGTCAGCTGCCTAATGGTAGAGTAAAAAGCGGCCGTAAGGTCAATAAATAGGGAACCGACAGAAAGACGCTGATAAGCTGCCGCGCCCCAGAAACACTTAACGACATGGGCAGCAAGGTCGCACGACCTTCCAGGTAGGCCTCCACACTGCTGCGTGAGCAGCGCCATGCATAGGTAGTCTAATGAGAGCGCCCTGAGATGACGATGCTGCAGCTTGCTCAGAGTATTAGTGATGAGAACACTGCGCTGATTAAGTGCAAGGGCAATGAAGCCTTTGCCTTTATAACAGGCCACAACCCTCCCATCCTTAAACGAGAGGGGCTCTTTGGTAGTCATGCTAATCTTAGTTAGTAAGGGCAGCATCACTTCCGTCATCTCCATGGGTGCCGTCTTCATGAGATCAACCGATGAGCCATCAGGGCCAGCGGCCCTCCCACCCTGCAGTTTTCGCATGAGCGACACCGTCTCGTACTTAGTAGCAACACACTTCAGGTCCCTAGGAACAAAGTCCTGGAGGGTGGGGGGGGGGGGGGCACATCATTGAATTTAGAAACAACATCCTGCTCATCGGTAATCTTCCCTGTTTCAATCCTAGAAAAGTGCTCTTGAAGGTTGTCCGCCGCTGCCTCTTCCGTTGTTAGGGGGCGACCTGATTCGTCAGTAGAGAAGGGCAACGTGTGTGGGATGCGGTGTGGGCGGCCCCCAAACAAGGCAAGATGCTTTACTATGTCCCATTCTCTTTTGGGTAGTCCGAGGTCTCTAGCATGCTCTATGTGAGCTGCCTTGGCGTCCAGGTGGTCACACTTGTCTTTCTCGATTGCTTTGGAAAGCACAATCTCGGTATCATTCAGAAACTGGTGCACGCAAATACATATCTCGCCTCGCTCTATTCTGCGATGGGTCCAGTCGTCAAAGGCGTTGGCTAGGTGCATATATGGCTGTCGCCATGCGTCGCCAGTGTCTGCCATCGCATGCCCCAAGATGTCTCCTAGCTTCCAGCGACCACGAAGGTGTTGCAGGGGTGAGACGCAAATTCCCCCCTGGGCCTTGATGCACGTCTTTAGGGCTCGAAGGACCCCACGCCTGGAAGTGATGAGATCAAGAGTGGCCTCGGAAATGTATGGCTGACGTGCTCTCCGAGGGGCAACTCCAAAGGCCTCCATCGCGGCCTTGGCAACCCCAGAGTTGATGGAGGCGTGGTGTTCAGACGGATTAGTCTCCCAAGGCACTTGGGGAATCTCCTTGCGTCCTCGCTGAAATGCCGCGACCTTCTTGGGGTCTTTGAAGGCCTCTGGGTCCAGACGCTTATGAGATGCAATGCGGCGGGTATGCGAAGCTTGCCACTTGAATGATATAATAATGGGAATGTGGTCAGTCAACTGATTCACTCGATCCAAGCAATGCAGCGCGTCGGATGAAAGGGCGTGGTTGGCCAACCATGAACAACTCAAGATGTATCAATTCTGTGTCTGAGCCCGTGGGTGTATTCCCACGTCCAGTGATCCTCCTCCCCATGCAGGGTGTTGAGTACAGGCATGTGGTGTTCAAGGGCAAATTCGTGAAGGGCATCCCCCCCCTCGTCCTGGTCCTGGGCCCATCCACACGAGCCTACGACCTCAGAGGTGATGTTTCCTAGGCGCCCGTTGACATCAACTAGGAAAACGGTCCGCCCCCCAGGCCCTCACGAGTTCCCCAATAGAGCCCCAGAACGCCGCCCGAGCCGTAGGGGATCCCGAATGAGGAGCATGGCCGACCAAGACATTGATTTTCAGGCCAGGGGTATTGACCGCCACCACGAGCCAGCGGGGGTCGGCGTCAATCACACGAAAGTGTTGCTTACTGAAGAACAACGGCTGGCCCTTGGCCTCTCCATATGCAACACGCGTGTTAATCCAAAGTTCGCATCCAAACTCGTGGTTCAACGCTCCCGACGATATTACATGATATGCTCCCGAAATGTAAACTCCTTTTGGATTACGAGCTTCTTGGATGCCTGCCAACACGATGTCTTCTTTGTCGAATTGGGCCTTGATGGTCACGTTCCGAGCGAAGCGCAGTCTGCCCTTCGCGCCCTTCCTTCTAGTGTTGGCGGTACTCTTAGTGTTGAATGTAGCAACCTTAAACTCCAACTCTTGCATAAGCTTGGTCACACGAAGTTCAGGCCTGTGCCCTAGTCCATTCACTTCGTGTGCTATCTGAGGAGCTCCAAACCCGTCAGCCTCCAGCACAGGATAGGACCCCACTGTGCTGGTGTTGGCCAAGGTTAGCCACTCCCACTCACGGTCTTTGCTGAATTCAGTGGCCTCGACCCACACGGGGGGGAGCAAGCATGGACCCCAAACGCTTTTGCCAACTAGCCCCGCCAAGTGATCGGCCAAGGTATTCCATGGCTGGCCTTCGTGGCCTTTGACATGTTTGACCAGGAGGGGGTTGGGGTGCTCGGGCCACCTCTTAGCTGCCAGAGCGCAAGCCATATCATGCAATATCTGGGTCATTCTAGCAATTACGTTGGTTTTGGCCACTGCCGACAGTCAGTACAGGCTCTGGACGACGTCAGCGAGTCCGTGTGGATGGTGGACGGCTCGTGGCACTCATTGGCGATGATGGCAAGGAGGGCCCATGACACGCCCGCGTACTCTATGTCCGTGCTAGTAAGCCCTGAGCGAGCTCCAGGCGTGAGAAAACTATCGAGGAAAGCAGCTGCCCAAACCCCTAGGAAGGCGCATCCCTCAGAATCACTCCCCACGCGGACCACTGCCCAGGCTCCCGTGGAGTCGTCCCCAAAACGGATGGACCCATCAGTGAAGTAAGAAACCTCATCCCAGACAGCCCTCCTAGTAGGACACAATTTGATGGCCCAAGAGGCCTCAGTGGGAATATCATCTGGCAGGTCTAGGACCCAATGCATAGGCTGAGCACGGCCAAGCATTTCCAGCATTTCCTCCTCCTTCTCCTCCCCCTCCCCCTCCTCCTCCTCCTCCTTCTCCTCTCCTCCTCCTCCTCCTCCTCCTTTTCCTCCTCCTCCTCCTCCTCCTCCTCCTCTCCTCCTTCTCCTCCTCCTCCTCCTCCTCCTCCTCGTCCTCCTCCTCCCCCTCCTCCTCCCCCTCCTCCTCCTCCTCCTCCTCCTTCTCCTCCTCCTCCTCCTCCGCCTCCTCCCCCCCCGCCAGCAGGTGCGGCATGCGGCCGGCCGCGCGATGCTGGCGTCGGTGGGCGCGGTGGGCGCCCCGTCCCCCCCCCCGGCGGGGCTGGCGGCGAGGACGAGGCCATGGCGGGCGTGAGGGAGGGGAGGAAGGAGAGGAAGGGAGGGGCCCTCAAGTCTCCATGGCCTTGTGACCGCCCACCAAGCCACCCCAACCCAACACGAAGGCCCCGCTCTGCGCTCCGTTTCCAGGGGCTGGGGGCGGGGGCGGGGAGCACAGAGAAAACACGGTATGGAACCCGTACCCCCCCCAGCCCGAAATTCGGGTCTTCGGGTTGGTATGGGGTGGTCTGGTAGGTAGTCAGCCACGGGGCACAGCAGGAGGAGGAAGAGGAGGACAAGTGTACACCCAAGACGCATCAGCGATGTTCCAAGAAACTCTAACGCCTTCCCTGCTCATAGGTCCCCGCATTCTTTTCCCCAGGCCTCGTGGGTTGCGTGCTCGTTTTGAACAGAGTCCTGTGGTCTCCAAGGGTCCCCTCCACCCTCCTCCTGCCTCCTGCCTCCTGCTTCCCCATCCCTTCTCCTCCGGCCTCCTGAGTCCTTGCCTCCCTTGCCCGTACCCTTTGTACCAGGGGGCCGCGAACTGCGCAACTGTCGCCACTCTCGCGACTCCTGGAGGTCCAGCGGAGTGGAGGTGTACGCGGACCCAGCCGAGACCTCGCGGCTCCCTGGGAGGCTGCGAAATGCGAAGCTGTCGCCACTCTCGTGTGCTCCTGGGAGGTCCAGCGGAGTTCGGGTGATCGCGGACCCAGCCGAGACCTCGCGGCTCCCTGGGAGGCTGCGAATTGCGCAATTGTCGCCACGCTCCTGGGCTCTTGGGGGGTCCAGCGGAGTCGAGGTGTACCCGGACCCAGCCGAGAACTCGTGGATTCCTGGGAGGCTTCGAATTGCGCAACTGTCGCCACTCTCCTGGGCTCCCAGCAGATCCGGTGGAGTGGGGGTGCTCGGGGACCCAGCCGAGACCTCGTGGCTCCCTGGGTGGTTGCGAAATGCACAATTGTCGCCACGCTCCCAGGCTCCTGGGAGGTCCAGCGGAGTGGAGTTGTACGCGGACCCGGCTGAGATTTCGCGGCTTCCTGGAAGGCTAGGAATTGTTCAACTGTCGCCACTTTCCTGGGCTCCCAGGAGGTCCAGCGGAGTGGGGGTGTACGCGGACCCAGCCGAGACCTCGCGGCTCCTTGGGAGGCTGCGAAATGCGAAGCTGTCGCCACTCTCGTGTGCTCCTGGGAGGTCCAGCGGAGTTTGAGTGATCGCGGACCCAGTCGAGACCTCGCGGCTCCCTGGAAGGCTGCGAACTGCGCAACTGTCGCCACTTTCCTGGGCTCCCAGGAGGTCCAGTGGAGTGGGTGTGTACGCGGACCCAGCCGAGACCTCGCGGCTCCTTGGAAGGTTGCGAATTGCGCAGCAGTCGCCACTGTAGTGGGCTCCTTGGGAGGTCCAGCGGAGGTGAGGGCAGCGTAAATCACTTCGAGACCTCGCGGCTCCGTGGGGGGCTGCGACCTGCGCAATTGTCGCCACTGGAAGGCTGCGAACTGGGCAACAGTCGCAAGATTCGTGGGCTCCTGGGAGGTCAAGCAGATTTCAGGGGTGCTCAATGTGTTGCCTCCCCCGGTTCCATTCAAGCGTTCGCGGAACGCGTTATCTCGAACAACCCTAAGTCGTGCCAGAACACAGTTCCTGAGGCTTCAGCCATACGAGTCCTCTAAACCGTTGCCAATTTTGAAGACCAGTGTGCGTGGCGCTTAGGCGAGAGGCACGTTTTGAAAAGGCATTTCTCTCCATCCTTGAAGCTATTGTTTTTTTTGTTGAAGCTAAGGTGCTCGGCGCTGAGGCGAGAGCCACATTTTGAAATCGGTCAGCCCTCGAGAAGTTGGTGCAAACTTTAAGACGAATGTGTGCGGCGCTAAGGTGAGAGCTATATGTGGAAAACGGCCCGCACTCCATGCTTGAAACTTGTGTGCAAATTTCGAGCTTCAAGGTCAGAGTCTCAGGCGAAACGCCCAGCCCGTGCTGACTCGTTTGGGGGTGCGACAGGGAGGAGTTACGCGTTCATAAGGAAAAAGAAAGGGAGAGAAGGAGGATCGAGGAGCATGGCGGTGGCGAGACTGGGGAGGTCGACACGACGTCTCTGGCCCGTCTTTACGCTCACTTGTGCGTCTATGTTTCCCGGAGGTGGCTAGGCGCGCTTCGCGATCCGTGCTGAAGACGCCGCATTCCTGCCCTGAGTGGATGTCTAGGGAAGGATTGCACGAGAGAGTTCGAGAACAAGCGCGCTTTTCGCGCCTCCCCAGGACATCTGGCGGCTCGGCTCCTTTGAGACATGGCCCCCCTGGACCCCTCTACCCTTTCCCTGAGGACAGGCGCCTCGCTCGGGAGTCTGAAAGTCATGCTGTTACGGACTGCGCGGTGACCTCGAAATCCCAAGAGACTCACCGCGCGGCCCGTCACCGCACTGTTTTGGGACCTCGAAGGCCCTGGTCGCCCAAGACGGGTCCACGGAGAGCGAGCCAAGTTCCAAAACCTCGCGGTGACTGCGAATCCCCACTGACTCTCCACGCGGTGCGGTCACCACAGCGTTTGAGGACCCCCGACTCGCCCTGATCAGTTTTCTGGCGGTCGTGGGCGGGGTTTCATCCCGAACAGTTTTTCGGGAGCCCCCAAACGGGGTGGTGACCACACCGTGCAGTGAGTCGGTGGGGATTCGGGGTCACCGCACGGTTTTGGGTTTCGGGTCCCTCTCCGAGGATGTCTCGGGCGACAGGGTCCTCCAGGGTCCCAAGTCCGTGCGGTGACGGACCGTGCGGTGAGATCTTAGGGGATTTCGGGGTCACCGCACGGTTTGTCACCGCACCGTTTCGGGACTCCAAAAGTTTTGTCGTTGGGCGGTCCCCAGTCCGAGCTGCTGCCTCTGGTTGCCCAGAATGGAAAGAGACCGCCCGCCTCGTCTTTCCCAGTCCTCCTGCGTGTCGGGTCCTCGTTTTGAACTCTCAGCGCCTCCCTCGACCTAGAGATCGTTTGAAATGTTCGAACCCGTCCCGTAACGCCAGCGTCGCCCCCCCCCCCCCCCCTTTCCCCTCGTGACGGTAACGAACGTATGGGGAAGGGTTCCAGCCCCTCCAACGCTACAGCGCCGTGCTCAGCTCACAGGCATGGTGTGGTGCTGACAGGCATCGGAGAGCCTTCAGGCGCCTCCAGAGGCGGCCGTCGTCCGTCGTCGTCGTCGTCGTCGTCGTCGTCGTCGTCGTCGTCGTCGTCGTCGTCGTCGTCGTCGTCGTCATTGTCGTTGTCGTCGTCGTCGTCGTCGTCGTCGTCGTCGTCGTCGTTCTCGTCCCCGTCCTTGTCGTCGTCCTCGTCCGCGTCGTCGTCGTCGTAGTTGTCTTCGTCGTCGTCATCCTCGTTCTCGTCTTCGTCCTAATCGTGCATCTCGTCCTCGTCCGGCCGTCGCCGTCGCCGCCGTCGTCGTCGTCGTCTGGCGCCCCTGGCCCCCCCCCCGCGGGCCTCGACCACGTTATACCATTACCCCCCCCACGGGGGCGGGACTCCCCATCGTTGAGTGTGGGCGGGGAATAAGCAGCATTCTCCTCGCTTCCACCCCCCTGTCCTCATGCTCTTCCTGACCCTCCTGAGTGTTGGGTCCTCGTCTTGAACCCGCAGCGCCGCGCGTCTCGCTCAGTCCCTCCTCCTCACCTCCCCCCGCCTCTCTGACTCCTCTTGCTCGGCCAGCCTCTGCTCTCTGATTTCCATGGCAGGCCGATCACGCGTGTGGTGCCCCCCTAAAGGAGCTCCACTGCAGGCCCCAGTGGCTGCGCTCACTTGGCGGCCGCCGCGGCCGCCCAATTTCGGCAGCGCCTTGCACGTTTCGTGGCCCCAGGCCCCATAGGAGCTCCACCGAAGGCCCCAGTGACTGCGTTCACATGGCGGCCCCGCCCCATTTCGGTGCACCCCTCACGCGTGTCGTGGTCCCCCAGTTCTGTTTGACCCTCCCTGGGGGGCCGTTTGAGCATGGCCGATGTAAGACCTCCCGTCCCGGACATCCGCCGACCTGATGTGTTCAATGCTCTGGTTGACCCAAAAGAGGGTCCAGCGAAAAGGGGGTGGTGCAATAGATTTGGCGCAATAGTTTTGTGGGGTTGCACTAGATTTGGGGCGTACAATACGTTCCGGTGCACCGATGTAATGCTGGGCTGTCGCGTGCAATACGTGAGCTGCAACACAATGCGATACAGTTCTCTGGCGCAGTGCATTCGAAGTACAATTTTCCCCAGACCTGTTGCACCACCCCTTCTCAGCTGGACCCCCTTTGGGGTCAACCGACACTGCTCGGGGTTGGACAGACCTCCTACCCTGACACGTCGATTAAGGAATTGGCCGTTTTCGTCTCGCGAGGGGGCGTCGCGGCCGTCACTTTTGCGGGTCCAGGTCCGTCGGTTTCGGTCCCAGGCGCTTTTCGCTAAGGGGAGGTTTACTAAAGGGAGGTTTGTCCACCGCCGAACTGCGCGGCCTCGGAGGTCCCGACCCCCCCTCCCCCGGGGCGATCTTTTTTTTGCCCGCCCGGGCTCTGTTCCTGCATGCCCCCCTGGGGCTCCACGGCGGGCCCCCGGGGGCGGACCTCGTGGCGAGAGGCATGCCCGCGTGGAAGCGCCGCATCGTCGGAGGTCGCCGTGCTCGCCGTCATTGTCCTGCCGCTCGGCGCGGGCCCTCGTCGTATCCCCCCCCTTCCCCTCCCCCCCCCCCCCGTCGAGCAGACCTCGGCTGTCTTTGGCGCCCGTTTCGAGCAGGCGGAGCCCCTCTCCCACAGGACGCGCCGTTGCAAACGGTCGCGTCGAGCAGAGGGCCGGAGCCAGACGCCCCCCCTCCCCCCGTTTCCGCCCGATGCCGAAACGCCGAATAGCTGAACACGCTCACGAGATGCGCCGACGGTGTTGACGGTGTTGCGCCGACATCTTCTGCAGTGGAGGCCCATGCCCA